AGGGATGACGGGAAGGAGAAAGAAAAATAACATAAGGTAGATAATCTACAGCTTAACATGGAATAGAGCCCAAAAGAACAGACTAGACACATTTGACGTAGAAAACATTTTTACATAACAGAGCTTAAACTGGCCTTCTTCACATCTGTACACTTTGTTACTGATTGTTGTCACATGACGTGTTTGCTGTCGCCTTGTTGGTTTCCCTGAAGCTAATATTATAACCGAACTGGTCAAACTAATATCTATAAACACAGGGCCTGTGCCTTTTATTGGTTTTTGAAAGAAATTGGATAATAACGCTTTGTTTCCCTTTACATTTTCACAGGCAGGGGGGCAGCCTTTTTCTTTCCCATTTGTCCGTGGCTGCTGTGAATGTGTCACAGAAATGCAAACAGCGAGCACTCACCAGCTTGCCCGTATCGCTGCCTTTCCATGTGGTGATGGCGAGCTCCAGCAGGTCAATGTCCAGAACACACACATAGTCTGTGTGACACAAAAACACACAGTTGTTGTTATTAGGGTGACAGCGATTGTTATTTATGTAATTTATAATAACTACTGAATCTGCCCTTATAAAAGACGTGCCAGACTGTAAGATGACTTCATTTACTAACACCTGTCAGAAAAGTTACTCAAGTACAAACGCTTTTACTAAAGAAGCAGACATGTTTAACTTCTTTAAAAGTCAAGTGAACTTGCTACATTTAGATTACATCACCATAACTAGGTGAAGCTGCTGTTATAGTGGGTATGCAGTGGACATTTTTAAACTGGGTTGTATGAGTTCCATACTAGGTGTATACTTATAGATAATGGCGGTCAGCACGCCCAATTTGGAGAAAAAGACAGAAGTAGGGGGGCAGGAGCAAGGCAATGTATTGCTGTGGAAAGCAGCAACACATCGTGTTATAGCAACAACAAAAAAGTCAGTATTTCTTTAGGCAAAACTATATTTAGGTTCATTGCTTTACCTTGCTGTCAGAAGACCTTTTCATCAAACTGAAGCTGTTTGACATTCTTTCTTTGAAGCCCCCAGACTCCTAAAATAATCAAGTAGTGTAACCTCGCAGAACTCAGGAGTTGCTCGTCTACCGCTTCCTCGACGGGTTGTTTGTTCTATTTTGTGAATTTGGTCAGTCCAGCAAGATCAGCAACTCCTGTGTTATGCGAGGTAAGGTTACTGTTTTGGTCAAAGGAGTTTTTGAAGAGATATTTTTAGGTGGCCGTTTTTTCAGGTGGTTAAATATGTTTTGCTGCTGCCCCCATCCACAGCCCCACATTACTTTACTTGCGTTCCTTAAGGTCTGCTTGCTTCTCCAAAATGGGGTTGTGCCGACACTCCTCTACTGCAGATAAAACGCTGACGGATTACCCCATCTCAGAATATCGGAACTATCCCTTTAAGTGTGAGCTGCAGCTGTTCTGTTGTTGACTTCAGGCTAACCAGCTCTGATATAACTCACACTCACAATGTTGGGAAAGTTTCCATAGACCAAGGGTACGGTATGTGCAACGCAGCTAACAAACATCCTGACACTGTGTTGTTTTCACTCATCAGGAATTTATTTGAACATATGGTATAAACAAGAGTGGTGGAATAAGTAAAAGTACTAATAACACAATTGAAACAAACTATATTATTAATATTAATCCAGTAACATGTAAGATGCAGTTAAATGTTGTTGCTGGCTGCAATAGAGCCGATTTTAATCATTGTATATTCTGTTCGTTGGTTAAATGTACTGTATAACAAAGCATTGTATTTGATACACTCATTATAAGATGAATATCCAAACATCATCTTATATAAAGTAACTAAAGTCATCAATGGAATTAGTGTAGTGGAGAAGAGTAGAATATTTCTCTTTGAATATAAAAATGAGATACATTTACTTCATCACTTTTCAGATATAAAGAAACCCACTAGCCAAAGCTTAAAATCAGAGCAAAAGCCCCCCCCCACTCTCTGTCATGTGACTAACCTCTCCTCAAGTCCACGACGTCAGTCTCACATTTGTCAGAGAGGTAGAGAGCAGAGTCATCCAAGATGAATCTGACCAAAACATAACAAAAACAAAACTTAGACAACAATCTTACACTGAGTCACCAGCTCATATAATGTGATACAAACTGACAGCATTTCAAAAATATGTACTCTTTATTGGAGCCCTGTCATGTTCAGTTAGAGGTGGACTGTACCTGAGGTGAAAGGTGGCCGTGTCTACGATGATGTTACTGGACAGAGAGAAGGACTCCGCTGTGAACAACACGCGCAGCGGCAGGTACATAGGTCTGGGAAACAGGAAAACTAAATAAATGATCATTTTACCAACCTTTTTAAGTCCATTTTAATTGAATAAGATTTACTCAATTAGTTTAGAGTCAAACATATAGAGATAGAAGACACATATATGAAATACTCTGCATAATTGAAATGTCAATATTCTGACACTAATATTTTACACATTCAATGGACAATTTTGCACTAATGTAGTACATTCTCAAATATTGAAGTGACTTATGTCGTATAAATTGATTGTTGTGTTTTTATTTAGGTCTTAATGTGTGCACATGTAAAAATGTGTCTTTGATTCTTTGTACAAATATATATATATTAGGGCTGTCAGTCGATTAAAATAGTTAATCGCGATTAATCCCAAATTAATCGCACAGTTTTGATCTGTTCTAAATGTACCTTAGAGGAATATTTTTCAAGTTTTTAATACTCTTATCAACATATTAGTGGACAAATATGCTTTATGCAAATGTTTATTATCATTTGAACAATGACAAATATTCTCATGAATATTAAACACAACAACCTCTGAACATTACAAATATTCGCCTCAATTCAATCTGGAACCTCTCTCATACAATAATAATACAATACAAAGTGTGTGTGGGTGTGTGTGTGTGATGGATCGTTGGATCGTTATTAACGCGTTAACCTTGCACTATCAACACTAATTTGGCTCACTTTTATATTTGATCTAATTGGAAGATAGGTTATATTTACACAGGGTTCAAGTTATAAACTGAGCTCTATGGGGTTCTTTGACACACACACACACACACACACACACACACACACACACACACACACACACACACACACTCACTCTCTCTCTCTCTCTCTCTCTCTCTCACACACACACACCCACACACACACACATGCACGGGATAGCCCCGG